GTACGGAGAGTTGCCAGCCACCCTATGCAACGGTGAACCAAATGACAAACGAGAAATGGGCAATCACTGGCCATTATGTTCTGACTCAAAAACTTTCCTATTRTAACTTAAAATGAGTTACCTTCTCTGGACAAATATCCGCTGTGGTATTATCATTCGAGAAAAGTTTCATTGCAATAGGACGAGACTCTAAAGTTGGTGAGTTGCACACATTCAGAGTTACATCTTCAGGGGCGGTAAACAAGACTGGAGAACAAGGTTTTTCCGCCAGTCTTCCTTTGCTCGAAGATTTCTTAAGTATTGATCCACCCTAAGAACATTACGTAATGATTATTATAACAAATAAATGATGGTTGGAGAAATATATATTTAAAACACTATAGTGTGGCAGCTTAAGCGAAATCTCTCAGACACAAGAACTGCAGGTCGCATTTACACCATGTCAGATTTTGTTTTTGATGACGTTAAGTGCACACCACGAAAAATTCGAGAGAAGAAAGCGCGGTAGACGTATAGCAACGCGGCAACAATGCCTTTATGGCAATTCTGTTCAAAGTCCGATAGTTTTTTGAAGTTTTAACCCAGGTTTAACGGTAATCATGGACTTTGAACAACCCGGCCCTGGATTTTTTCACGTGCAAATACTCAGTTTAGAAAATGATGGAACAACGGCTCGCAAAAAGTATACTTTTTAATAGTCACCTTCACTGATTTCCAGCGCCATCTAGAAAGGTAGCCGTGCCTTTGCATTGAAGCGAGATGACCGTTGAGCATGCAATAACAGATACCTGTGGATAATTGTCCAAATGTGTGAAAGGTTGCTCTCAATGCACGCTCAGTGAATGTCTCGCTTTGATGCAAAGGTACGGCTAGCTTTCAAGATGTCGCAGGGAACCGCGAAGAAGACTAAGGAAGTACAGATTGCCTACATTCAACTTTGGATACCTTATTAGCATTAACGACGAGCTGYTGGTCACGATGTGGAGTAAGTATAGCAGACCATGTCACGTGCTTTTTWGTAGAGGTTGGTGCCTGGGTTCTAGTATCCAGCTGACTTCGGCTGGGAGTCATCAAAGCGGAATAAATGGACGATTTGCTTTCGTTATCTTTTACATGTAGCTGTTGGYTTGTAGTTTGAGTAAGAGCTCTACTAGGAGTCATCAAAGTGGAAATGTTGGGCTTTGTTTCGAGTTGCTTTGTTTCTTTTCTCTGCTCTGGCAATATGGGTTTAGTAAACGTACTTTCGTCACCATCTGCAATAATAAAAGGAACTTGCATAAGGTGCGCAATACAAGGCATTAAAACGTTTTACGTCGAGAAATTCTGCGTAGCACCTTGATCATCAATATATAACTAATTAATGCAAAGGAAAAGAGTGATATTGCTTCATATGGCATTGACCCATTTAGATGTCTTTCTTTGCTTTCAAGCTGGTCGGCTGCGCAAGCAATATGGCATTTTAATGTTTGTGTTTGTACTTTTTCTATGTATTGTTCACGTAAGATCAACTTTCTTTTAAATACGACATTAACCAGCACAAACCAAGCGGCTAACCTATACCTACATTCAACAGACCAATAAATAAAACATGGCAGCTAAAGAAAACTACAAACCAACCAACAACAAAACCCATAACTAACTAAGCTGATTAGAAAGCATGTAAACCATTCAAAGTCAAAGCAATTGAGATGTGCGGGACGTCTGATACATGCAAGCGCTTAATAAGTGAAATAAGAGAAAAGTAGGCTTGAAAACAAACCTTTCTCGTCTTTCAAAGGTCCTGCATCTTGAAAGCCAACTACGGTTGAGCCAAGAGCGTAGTGAAGTTTTGAATTTGCCGGGAGTGGCTTGGAAGAGGTTGGCAGTACTTTGGTGTAGTTTGGCTTGCTAATGGTAGTTGCGGATAGAGAAGGTCTACCCGGCTCGATAAGCATCTTTGATGTCTTTTTTCCAGCATAATATATAGATGTACGCTAACAGAAAAATATTTGGATTGACAATAAAATTAAAATTCTGATACGMTTTAATCATGGTTTGATTATTCACAACTCCTGGAGTAACCATATTTTTTGCCATATATCAGAACAGAAAATACTAAAGAAATTTACCTTTTCATCCAACAGTGACTGTCTTTTAGACAATGGCATTGTTCTTGTAGAAGCCATAGTGTGTCTTGATAAAGACCGGTTATCGATGCCTCTATTGTTAAGAATGCTTTCTAAAGCCATGGTATCAGGCTTGAATGAGATTTCATCATCATCATTTTCGTCTAAAATAAACATCATGAATGTTAATCCAATATTTGCAGCTTTGATGGCTGGCGTTCAGGTCAACTAAGCGTATGGTCGTATTCG